TAATTTCGTCATATTTTTGGCTCCAGGTCAATGGTCGTACGAAAATCAATGTGCCTTTTTCAATCTTATTAATAATATGACAGATTTTACCATCAAAGTCAGGCACGGACGATGGAAGTGACATTACAGTCATTTTTTGCAAGAGCTAAGAACTGAAAAATGTTACTTTTGCAAGAAAAATTGCTGCATATAGTTGAATTTTACTTTTCGCAAACCAGTTAGATTGTGGATATCAATTATTCAAGAGTAGCGTAAACATCCTTGCTAGTTTGGTATAGAGATAAAAATAAACAGCAAATACTACGAAATCCTAAGAAAAGATGGAAACGTGAGCTGTGGGTAAAAAGTTATGCAGCAGTTTTATCAGACACATCACTAAACTTTCAATAATTATTTCCCGACAGTAAAAACTAAAAGTCCAGAATTCATGTTCTCTAACATTACGATTGTACTGTACTTAAAAACGGAAATATAGGCTCAATTTGTAGAATGCAAATCAGTTACCATCTTTGAATTACTCAAAATTGAACATTACCTTCACAAGGAACTGAGTGTTCTAACGCTCAGCACTTATGTTTTCTAGCAACGCGACCGACCTACAATAAAACACTCACAACAAATGGCTAATGCTGTATGCTTGACATTTTGACTGAAACCGGTTGCACAATATATTTGACATCTGGTCGCATCCGCATATGAAACGTTTCCGTCCGGTTTCCTCATATTGGATGAATGTTGGGATAATATTCCAAAGGTTGCAGGAAAATTACTTCCGTGTAATTGTGAAGCAGTAATTTGCTTTTGTCTACAAATAATTAAACATATCTAATCGTGGAAATCGTACAGCATATGTGTTTTGTATACATACAGTGTAAATTCACTGTAAGTTTTTGCGGTAACGAAGAATAGCGAACATTTTGGCCACATAATTCTATACTAATAATAATACCTCATAAAAGATTTGCGCTACAGTCACCAGTCTTGATAGTAAATATCGCATTATTGGTCAAATGCATAAGAAGCAAGATCTTGCATTGAACTATAATTAAAAGTTTAGAAATATTTGAGGTCATAGCTCTTTAAGGCCTTTCTTTCGTTCAAAAAACTGCTCTCGAAGGATCTATATAAATGAACACAGGTTGAAAAGCATTTGGTGGTGAGCATATATATATACATACATAATATCAGAGAGCGCTTTTCTCTTTACATTGCAATTTTTTACTTCATAATGGGCATTGATATATTTTTGCAAAGATGTGCATATGTAATTTACTTTTTCACGACTGATAAATCATGTATATCTGTATAATTCATTTTATTACTACATCTACATTAAAAACGAAAATAAACGATTTTAAGAACAATTGCACTGTTGCTAATTATTTAAATTTTTCATAATTCGAGTCTGAAATGGCTTTTCAGTCTAAGGATCTAAAATTGTTCTAAGATAGTTTACTCGTTCAAATCTGGCATATCAGTAACTTTATAAGGGTCAAAGTTGATGAATGTCATTCATTTCGTTTTTTCCAGCGACCTTTAATTCTGAATAGAATTCTCATATTTCATTTAGTAGTGATAGCAATATCGCTGAATTTATATTAATATGAGCAAAGCTTTTTTACAACTGCAATGATGGATTCATAGTATGAAGTTTTAGAACAGTTGAGTATCTTAACCTTTCAATTTTTGATATAGCTCGTAGTTGATTAATAGTATTATTTACGTAAAAACTCTATTCAGATATCTTCACTAATCTGATTTCATTCAGATGATTAAATTAAGATATTCACTTGCTTGATTTTTCTCAATAAAATTCGTAGTTTTTTAGCTCGTAAAAAGAAAACAGTAAAAAAATTGAATGGATTTCGAATACACAAGAAAATTAATAACCTGCTAACAATATTTGCAGTAATCTATGAATCAAAAAATTGATGTCGAGAGTAAATTCATTATTTTTCTTATGAAGTTTCAATACAATTAGTTATTACAAAATGGTATTTATTCAATTATTTCGCGAGAAAATATTGTTGTCCATCTGATTTTATATAAGGACGATTCATACTAAAACTAAACATTTATGACGGCCATCAATATGTGTTGAATGTCAAACTATCACAAATCTATGTTGAGTTAACCTGAACAAATGGTCCTGTCATTAGCTAAAATCTTTTTGATCACTACTGACTTGGATCGTACTTGAAGATCACTGGAATTCAGTGAAATTTCAGCTCTTTATCAATACGTCTGTTTAAAATACAATTCAAGCATTATTCACAAAAATAATACACGTCTCATTCTGAAGAGGCTCACACATGACATCGAAACCCCGAAAACTTGAATTTACGACGAAATAAAGAATATAATGAATGACAATTGCTGAGTCTCTCGTCCATGCAAGTTTATTTCCTTCGCTTGTGATCAATTGTTCTGATTAAAATAATAATGTGTTGTTGTACAGTATTGTGTGTATAAAGCACTAGTTCTTAGGGTATTTAATCTTATATATTTGTTTGAACTGTCTGCGCATAATGCACTAACTCCACATGATAGTAAATGATTATTCAATAAAAATGCGTGACTGCAATTCTCAGACATCATAACATTTCTATTTAGGATAAAGAACAGAAAATTAATAAATTCTCTATGCATACGAATGCTATTATTTCACTCAAATGTGTTAGACAAATAATGGCAAGCAGTTTAAATATATAACTAAAAGTCTTCCAACTGTAAGAGAATACAAAAATCTGAAATCTGTTACAGAATCTCCCAATTGAGCAACATATTGAGAAAATGGAGCTCATGGAGAATTAAAAATTTAAAGAAACGAGAAGTCCAAGTTATTTGTCTCACACTGTCAAATAACATGTTGGAAACAATTCAGTCTAGAAAAAAGATTCATGAAACGACTATAAATTGATGATTGTGATCTTAGGTATCTAAACCAACTTATTTCTATACCGAAAAAGATTAATAATCTGGATATATGAATAGGACAAAAAGATAACATGAACTTAACATATCACCAGCAAAAAGCTTCTCTTATAAATTTTGCAAACCGAAGTGAAACTTCAGCAATAAAAAACAAAAATATACAATAAGAAAATAACCATGAAAGTATTTAGAAAACATGAAGAATTACTAAAGAAGGAAGCAATTAATTTCTTTTCTAGTGTAGTTGTTCCCTGATCTCAATAAACATATATGCTGGAGAATTCGTAACTTTTACGATAAATACTGAACATCATTCACACTGGAAAAATTTTTTTTGAAAAAAAAGGCAAATTAAAGGAAGACACGATAAATTTATGGTAACTATCACATCTTTCCAATCCTAATCAGAAATTTTTGATTCAGAGTGCTGCCGCTTCTGGTTTTCGCTGTGCCACTTGCGGAGGATCTGTCGGAGCTTTCTGATATTGTTTAGTAAATGGAAATAAACTATACATGAAGATAGCTCCAATAACAAGTATAGTACCAGTGAGAAATAAAATTGATGGGCGAAACTGGAAAAACAATGTCGACACAACACATGCTATAATGATTGAAATCGATGTAGCAAACGCTTTCAAAATATTATCAGCATATTTTATAACGACAGCAACAAAGAGGCCACCAAGAGATGAGAGAAAGATCATCCCCCATACTACAATATCAAATCCAATCAAGATTCCTCGTTCCAGTACCTTCTCACTATCTTGTATCTAAAAACTAGAACAAAAGAGTACATTTTTCAGAATAAATCATTCAATTCATTTGATGAAAATATTTAGGAGGATGTACACCATTACAATATATGCTTTATGATTAGGTATTTTCTAACATCAGTAAATAACGAAGTTAAAATCCCCGAATATTCTGTTGCTTAATATCAAAATTAAAAAACTTACAAAAATATTAGCCAAACCAACAGGAAGTGAGATAATAGCAAGCTGTACATTTCGCATCCACACAGATACATCCGATCCTTTTAATATTTTTTCCAGATATATGCCAGAAAATCCTGTGAATGTATAGAGTAACATATTTGAATGAACAAAAATATACTCATTGCGTAATTTTTTATATGAATGAACTACAAATGCCAGCAATAACTCTCTAACGAATAAGGTCTTTAGAAAAAAGTACTACACCTTTTTGAAATGAAAATAAGTACGAAAAAAGGTGCATTATGTATAATGCTTTACCGGGATAAAATTTAAAAACTCATCAAAATTTCATGAAATAATAACTTATTGAATAATTTTTTTAGGCACCTGATAATATACACGCGACTATAACTGCGGAAAAACCCTTGACAGGACTTTGATCTCCGATATGTTTGTATGTGTCTGTCGATTTTGTTGACGCAAAGTTGCTGTCTGTTACTAGTGTTGCATTTTCTTTCACGAACTTCGCTGTATCCTTGGCTTTTTTTTCATCCTTCAATAAATTTTTAAAGTTATGTCAGAACACAAATGCATGAAATCACCTATGATTGTGATTTGATAAAGTGTTGAAATTCTCAAAGTTAGAAAGACATACGTAAAATTATACGAAAAATAGCAAGGTTAAGATATTTAAGTAACTAAAGTTTATGTATTAATGACATAACTGAAGGAGGATAAGGTTTGAAAAAGAAACCGAGAGCCCTGAAAAAGTTGAACTAACCACTTGAACTAAAGCAACTCCTCCAAAAAGTAAAACCAAAGCAAGCCACTGCAGTACTGAAAGACGTCTCCGAAGAATGAGCACAGTGAAAAGCGCTGTTGTGAGTATTTTGAGCTGATATGTCACCTTAAGTAAATATTTTTGAAAATCCTGTGTAGTGAAAAATATTATAACTACAATATAATCCTTCAACATATAACATTATGTTAACTTGCGAAAAAGTAAACAGAAACTATACAAAACATTTCCCAAGCTAACTTTTTATAACTCAGTTTTGTCATTAGATCATAACTGCGGGATCATCAAGGTCATAAAATGGTGCAGTCAGTGTTAAAATATACAAATATACAATGAAAGCCTAAAAAACCCCCAAAATTTTAGGATCTTATAAAAATTAAGATAACAATGTAACAAATATTCAAAATTCCTCGCCACTTTTCGTATAGAGGAAAAATTGAATATACACACCATGTATGTAGCAGCAGATAGATTAGAAACAGCTACGTAGAGTAGATTATTTTGAATAACGTAAATTACGGCTGGCACACATACTTTCAGTGTATCAATCGGCTGCTTGATTATGTCTCTGTGCATTAATTTCAAACATCTAAAAATAATGATATCAGTAAAAAAGCATCAAATGATAAATCTTTTTTTACCGAAATAAGAATGATTGTTTATATTTCTGAAAACAATAAGAAAACTGCAAATATGGCAATCAACCTCGAAAAAACAGCTTCTTACAACAGTATTTTAGTCTTTCCCGTTACATAACTTCACTACCGTGAAAAAACGACCAAAAATGAAAAACAAAGTCTAGCAGCTTCTTAAAGGTAAGATGAAATATAGCACTAAACCTCAAAAAACCCTTCTCCGCGACAGTTATAAGCACAAAGCAACTGATCAGTTTAACAACTTCGGTACAAAAAACTGCCACTGTTGACAAAAACATTTCACGTGGTCGAGTCCTCACATAACGCATAACCAATACTTGCGCCGCATTTTGAACTACGAGAACTGCCAGACTTATATACTTTATTGCCACATCTGAAAGTAACACGGTTAGTTAAAGACAGGACTTGAAAAAAATTTCCGCTCAAACACTAACTAGAAAGAACAGAATCTGAATGATCATATGAAGCACCATCTAATGAGAGTACCTCTTTTCCCAGCATCGATATGTCTGCTCACTCCAACTAACATACTATTTCGCTTCCTGTCGTTACATTCCGCAGACATCACTTGTCTGCAAAAAAATGAGTGAAAATATATAATTTTCAAATCAATCAAACGGTACACATGACACGACAAATACATATATCTATTCGATTCACCGCGCGTCTCTTGACTTTATGAAACAATGCGACTCCAACAATTCAATTCTGAACTACTTTGGCTTTTATACTTCATTTCTTACAACAAGATTTACGATCTTATTACTGAAAAATAATCGGAATATATTGACCAATAGAGATTCTGGTTCATACAGCACAATTTTTCACACGTGGATCAATTTTTAAAATAAAGCACTCATTTAAAAAATAAGACTTCAATTTAATTCCTCCTTCAAAATTTAAGCTATAAAGTTTGCATGCTGTCAATAGCCAACAGTAAGTATTGCTAAAATAATAACACTCCAGAACAAACCAAACCTTAAGACACTCCAAATTTAGCAATAATCTGTTTACAAACTTTGGACAAAATCAATAAACTCAGGTCATGATCTGACCTTAAAAATGATTTTAACCACTACTGAATAGACCATTTAAGCATGTCCAGTTTTCTAATAAGAAACACCTTAATCATAGAAGGGAAGAAGTCAAAGCAAATAACAGATGATTTTTCACTATTCATCATCGTTTTGGTCTTAAATTAGATGACCATTCTGAACATCTACAAATATGACCGTTCACCTTGCTGCAATACTATTTGACAATATAATTTTATCTCTTAATCTTCAGCAATACAATGTTTCAAATTCACACTTCAAGACATGCAACATTATCAAATGCTATGCGCATAAATTTCCTTTCTAAGAGTCTTATTTTTCAGAAATTCAATTAACTAGACTAATTTAAAAGGATAAACTTATTCGTCGATTATTCTCCAAATAATATATTCTACGTAGACATAAATTTTTGGACAATTAACTTCAGCTTCAGTATCGTACTCTAAAAGTAAGAGGAATATTAAAGTCTCACCAACCTGTGCCTGAAAAAAACAAACATATATATAAATATAAATATATACATATATGAAACAAGATGTCATTTCCAAAAATGTAATGTGTTCAGAACACATTTTACGACAAATTATTCATGCTGAAAAACAGAACAACTATATAAACAGCATAAGTCACACAAATATAATACTTGTACCTTTGTCAAGAATCACACAAATACATCCTAAATATTGCTTCATGCTCACTGCAACCAAATTCAGGTACAAAATTAACTTTAACAATGGATAAGAATCCTTCTGATAACTCCGGCTCCTGAAATATAACACATTGGTTGCTAGCTTTACAGATCTATCTAGCTTAGGTAACCAACAGAAAACTGCAGGACCAAAATTATTTGATAGGTAAGCAACTCAAGTTGAATGAAAGGAGCTAAAACGAAAATATACCTCAAATTTTTTCTTATAACTATTGAGTACTGCTTGCCCGATTTCAGTGTGTTCTAGATCAGCGCCGATAAGGACACGATATTTGCAATTGTGCATTGCTTGTTCCAGTGTACAATTGAACAAAAAGCATCGCGTAACAGCTCCAAATGATTTAGCAACATTGCAGTATCGTTTTCTACATTTCCAAAATTCAGATAACTGTTTTGATTTTTATTCCAATAAGCAACCTCATCAATATAGTCAAAATCTGTAGTAACAAAACCTTGAATTTCGATCAGCATTGGTATTGTCAATAATAACACTCTGCTTTCGTTTTAAAAAAATTTGCGCATATTCAACACATTTCTGCCATGTTTTTAATGTATCTCGATTCACAACACCATAGCTATATTTCGTAGCCAATTTCTGAGCAAGACTAGTCTTGCCACATCCTGGATAGCCAACAAATATAAGAACCTCCAAACTATCCCCTGGTACAGGAGCATCCTCTGAAATAATTAATATAAAAAATTAAACTATACTTAGCTTCCAATGGCTATTGAACAGCTGGTATTTCTACAGCAAAAATGCTTCAAACACTTCTCAAGACTGATTAAATGCCATATGCCATATTTGAAAAATTAAATATTAAACTGCAAAGGAAAATACTTATACAAAAGAGAAAAAAACCTGGATCAAATAAGGAAATTTTCGAGTCCAACAAAGATGATGGTGAAAAAGATGGCAGTACATAATTTTCCACTTGCATCTGCTTGAGGAAGTACTGCTCTGGGGTCGAAAAACTAATTCCAATGTTCAAAGCAAATAAACGATCAGCAGCTGAATGATCTTTTTTCTTCCGAATCTTCAACAAAAATTATATATAACATATGACTTTCATTCAACTGTTGCAAATATCTCAATTAAAAGAATCGACTGATGGTAATAAAATACTACAGCGCATCAGAAACTCATGATCACGTTACAACATTAAAAAATATTTGCTTATCAGTTCATATAGAGGAGATATATCAGAAAAATTATACAAACATTTGTCTGGATGCGACCCGCAGCATCACCAACATAAAATGATGACTGTCGATTTACTGAAATGCTTCCGTTTTCATAGCTCAAAAAAAAATTCCACATACCAATGTACGGTTTACGATATTTTAATGTTCCCAGGGAAACAAACACCTCGAAAAATAAACCAGATTTATATAATATATACAAATATCATTGCAAAGTAAAGTGAATTTGCAACAATTCGAAACTGTGGTAGGTAAAAAAATTTTGAACTATAAGCAACAACAACCTCAGAAAATTTTCTTTTCTAAGAAAGATTCGAACTTCATGAATAATAGATGAAAAACTTTTGCTTAAAGTTCCATCGTTACAATTGTTTTCCAATTTTAATTTTCATTAAAACTTGAAAATATATGAAGTCTAATGTGAAACAAATCACTGCTTTTTGAAAGTACTGGTACCTGCATGGGAACGTTAATGCGCTGACATACTCTTTCTACTTTTCTGCAAAAAGCACCACGATCCTGGGAACCTGTCTATAAAACAGCAAATCAGAAATGGAATGTGAAACAAAAGAAAATGATGAAGTGTCTTCAGTTCTTAACTGAGAAATCAATATTGATGATCCAACTTTACTTATTCAATAGCCATGACTAAAAGTATCATTTGAATTCACTTACATGAGTAGTTCAGACAGGAAAAAAACTAACCTGTATACCTCGTTGATTCGTAAAAATCACCACTTTAAAATCGTTTTCCACAGCATCAACCAATACTTTCGGTACGATATCACAAAAAAACTGCCAATCATGTTCATTTTGAGGAAAAGTTTTCCCTGTTTTTGTTACTATTATCGTTCCATCTGAGAAAAAAATAAAATTAAGAAAGAAATATCTGTAATATAATTTATGAAACTGAAATAATGAGTAAAGTAATAAGAAAATGCCGTTTTCTCTTCAAAAAACCTTCTGAAAACAGACCGCACATCCGTTCAATTCTAACAATTTAAAAGGACCTCCTCATTTCCGTAATATACTTGATTATTTTCAAATACAATATTAAGATTTTCGTCGTTCTTTTACTCTACTTACATGTGAAAACTTCATAAACATAGTTTTCACTGATTTATGAATTAATGAACTACATCTTGATCATACAATGAGTCCAATTTTCAGAAGCATCTACAATTTTTTAAAGCCATTTGTATTTTTTTTCATTTACTGCAGTGTAAATATAAAGACAACAAAAAAACAAAACAGATCACCAATGCAGACATTCCATCTAATAATTTGGAGAATATTGAATTGATGCTTTATCTTTTGTATACGAGACATACTACTACACTCATGAAAATGTATAAGGAAAGCCTCAATAAATCTCAAGAAACTTCAATCCCTTATCACTTTCATAGAATTAATATAAGGGTTTTCAAGTAAAAGACTTTGTATTAGTACTTACCAAGGTCAAAAGCTGCTATATTAGCACAATGTTTCACTTCACCAAAATGAAGAATCATGAGGTGGTCTTCAACGTTCTGCCACCTGACGCATATCTTGTTCTCATCACTGTGCAATGCTGACTTTGAGACTGTTTCCATTACTCAAAAAAAAAGCCGATATAAATGCAAAATCTCATGCAACAACAAAAATTTCCCATTAGTAAATGCAATAGTTGCTGACCTTTTTTACTATTAATTAACCAATCATCCATCGTTGTACCTGGTCGTTTACTCATTATTAGTGTTGACCATTACAACAATTCAATCTAAACTTTTGCTCAATCCTTCGAACCCGATTTTGAACAGCAATGAAACAATAATTTTCAGATAGAAGTAGGCCTGTCCAATAGTTAAATATTGGTTATTTGGTGTACATCACAAAAGTGGACTGCATTAATTCTTGACTGACGTGAGACAAGTTGTTTGGCAATTCATTCTGATGATGTACGTGTTTATGTTTGAATACATCGAATAATGCATTTATGAATACTCAAGATCGTATAAAATAACAAGATGATTACATTCGTTATTGCAGTTTTTAGATTGAAAGTTTTTTACTTTCGTAAATTCTTTCTTGACGAACATTCAAACAATGCTGTTACTACTCACCGCACATTTGTAACAGTTTCAAGATGCATCTTAGAGTGGAATATTCACGGGTCAACGAGAAGTACAAGGATCACTACTTTTGTTCCTGAAATAACTGTACCTCACGAACAGCTGTTGAGATATTGTTGTTGGACAGCAAGGAAAGAGTCAGATTTGCAAAATATCATTTAGAGAGAGTCAAAAATAAAAGAAAAGAGATGATATGTACGGAATGCTGAAGTCTTTAGAATATTAGAAGCAGTGTAAGTTCAAATGCAGCATATTTTGTCTTAATAATGTATTATTCATAATATTTAGATTTCCATGGACCTATTTTTATATTCATAATGGGTTTAAACATTACTGTGCTAAGAAATATAGAGCAAAAGCACAGGGATATTTGTTATTAAGTGTGTTTAGCTGCATTTTTGCTAACTTTATGCTATTGTTTTTGAATTTGTACTGTTGATTTCGAAAAAAGTGGTGAGTAATTAAGTACCAGTTTACTACGTGTGAAGCACGTGTTAAATTCAAAAGCTTATGTATATATACCAATCAATGATCAGGTAGAAACTAATCAACTTTTACTGCTGTGCGATAGCATGCTACTCATGATTTATTTTAACATTTATTGTTGACAGTGATATTTAGCATTTTACCCCTTTTGACACTTTTGTAATTGGAAAAGAAATTTACCAAATTTACAAAGTTTGAAACTGGTAAGAGATAAACGAGTAGAGTTCAAGCATTACTATTAAGAAATATAGAGCAAAAATCATTATCCAATAAAAACTGCTCACAATTTGTGATTGTTGTAAGATTCGATATTTAATTTAATTCAGTTGAGAACTTACTCGATGAACTTTTGTAGTCAAGGTTATCCATCTGCTCCTCGTCTTCATGCAGCAAAATATGTATCTATCAAAAGTCATTAAATAAAATGTTCTTTAATTTAGCAACTGCCATAATTTCTGCTAATTTTAGGGCGCCGACAGCGAATAATCAGCCAAACTTTCCACTTTTACCTCCCTCCTTTACATCTGCCTTATACTTTATAAAACTTTATTTCAAATTTACATTTAGTCAAACTACCAAACCAAACTGTTATATGAATGGTCTTATTGTCATCGCTGTTACTCACATTGCTTCCATGTTTAATACTGTGCTATCTTCTCTGATGTTTTTTTTACAAGTTTCTTTTTTACATGTGCTCTAAGCAAGTAGTTCAGAAATTTAATATTCCCTTAAAAAATAAGAACCTATTACTCTCAGACAAATTTAAAGGAAAAAAAACCACTAATAAAATAGTATAAAATTATTTGAAAATCAAACCTTTAATAGCAACTTAGAGATTACATAGCGATAAAATTACTACACAAGTTGGTCTATACTGATTATCGGCTTACATTGTATGAAACTTACTATTCATGTGCAAATATCCAGGGGAAATCATTTTCAAAAGAAAAATCACAGCGTAAAAAGCAAAACATAATTTATCTTAAACTGAATAAATAGTGTAAAAAATATCTGTTAACATATATATATATATATA